GTGTAGGGGTAAGGGAACAGGCTTCAGAAAGGGGGCATGGCCAGGCCCTGGGGAGGGAAGAGAAACGCGGGCAGCGAGTCAGCGAGGAGGGGCTGCGCGGTGGGGAGGAGCCAACCTGGGCTGCTCCCCCCCCCAACCCGCCCCCACCTGGGGACCTGGAGCAAGTGAGCAAAGTCCCGGTTGTCTGGGGGGAGGGGGAGCGGGCTGGAGGTGGAGGAGGGGGGAAGCCACTCGGACTTATTTCTCTAGATCTACATCTTAGCTGTGTCACCTAGCGAGGTCCTCCCCTCCATGTCCCTCAGCTTTCTCATATAAAAAAAGAACAACAGGGAAACAGTAAATAATTCATATACTATGGGGAACTTTGTGGACATTAGTTGAGCTAATGCCTTCAATATGCTACTCAGGTGCCTGGCCAACAGGACTGACAGACATGCTCCCTCAGGGTCAGTTGTTGCACCTGTTAAATGGGGCTATGGTCAGTCCCGTCCCCCCCCCCCGCCCCCCATGGTGGCTGAGTATGAACCAGAGGGCATACATTATTAGGCACAATTATTTCTCATTCTTGGTCCCCTCCGGAACCCTTCCACTCCAACCCTAGAAGTTTCACAAAGCAAAAAAAAAACAAAACAAAAACACACCAAAAAACAAACACGGAAGATCTCAAGCAGAAGAAAACTGGGGAGGGAGAGGGACACAGTGTTTGCTACCAACAGAGGCAAGAAGTTGCCCCGCCTGCTATGCTGGTGTCACAGGGAGAGAAACTGAGGCAGGCCCACAGGAACTCGCCAGCTAGCAAGTGGCAGAAGCAGAGTGTAAAACCCAGGGACCTGCCTGGGCCACTCCTCTGTCCCCCGCCTGGAGGTGCCACTAGTGCTCGAGTGCCCACAGATCACCTGCCCACCTGTGGCCGGTCTGCACGAGGGGCCAGCGGAGGAGAAGGCAGGAACTGAGAAAGGCCAGAAACCAACCCTTTTTTCCTCAGTCCCCTCCTCCCCGCAGGGAGGGAGGCCAGTCCGGCCTGTTGGCTCAGAGCAGGGAGACGAATGTGCTCAGACAAAACACAAGGCCGGGCGTGCAGAAGGCCTCACGGAACCTTTTCACCAGTTCAGAGTGTTTCCCAGCCGCCAAGCCTTCCCTGGCCACACCGTGCCCCAGCACAGCTGTCTGCTCCACACGCAGGCTGCCAGGCTGCCCCTCAACCCCGACATTTCCCACGTGTGCACACACCATTAACCCTTTGGGGGACAGGCTGGCCTGTTTGGGACGAGAGCAGGGAGGAAAGGAAATCACAGACGCTGGAAAAGGCCCTGGAGTCAGGCTGCCTGGGGTAGAGCCTTACTCCACCACCTACCCGCTGTGTGACCTTGGGTAAGTTGCTCAGCCTCTCTGGGCCTCATCTATAAAGTGGAGGGGATAACCGGACCACAGAAGTCAGAATAGACCAAGAACTCAGAAGAGTACCTGGCACAACGTAAGTGCTGTGTATAGTGATTATTACCACCCACCTACCTTCTCTGCTATAAACATCCCTTAACTTTGAAAAAATTTAAGTATTGGGGAGGGGGCAGTGTCAGGTTGTGATGAATCTAGGAGATACACCTTCCACCTAGCAATTATTATCATTTAAAGTTACTAGACCAGAGGGACTGGGGGAGGGGCTGGGGAGGAGGCAGGAGGACGGAGCATAAATACCTGAGAGGCCAGGACGTGCTGCTGGAGGTGGAAGGGCAGGGTGGCCGCAGACGCCCCCGACAGTCCCTGCGCCGCTGCGGCGGAGGCCATGGCCGTGAGAAACTGATAGGCTGCTCCTACATACCCACATCCTGGGCACATACCCTGATGGGGAATCCAACCGGTGACCTACTGGTATATAGGATGATGCTCAACCAACTGTCACACAGGCCAGGACATGTTAAGTACCCGGTTTGGCTCAGTGGATAGAGCGTCGGCCTGCGGACTAAAAGGTCCCAGGCTCGATTCCGGTCAAGGGCATGTACCTGGGTTGCGGGCACTTCCCCATTGGGGGATGTGCAGGAGGCAGCGTGCTCCTCTTTGCTCTCGGCCTCGGCGTCGCTCTCACCCTCGCTGGGACACAGATCTGCCGAAGGAGGGGGACAAGAGCGTGGCGGAAGGGCGTGAGCTCCAATCTGGGCCCTGGAAGCCAGCTCCCCAGGATGAAACCTGGCTCAGCCACTCACTAACAGGGCAACACCCCGCGAGCCCCTTAACCTCTCTAGTGCCTCAGTTTTCTCATCTGCAAAATGGGAGCGGTGATCCTCCCTAACTTCAGTGGAAAGATTCAGTAAGCTAATAATGAAGATAG